GTCCCACCTATTGCACCAACCAAGTGGGAAGGAGTAGAAATGAAGCAAAGGCAGGGAAGGAAGAGGAAATAGGGACAGAAGAGGGAAGACACAAGGATGGGAATGGAGAAGAGTCAGCCAAAGAAAAGAACCAACGTGAAAGACAGAAGGACCTCCAGGGAGCTTTAATGGAGAGAGCGCTTTTTAATCCTGGTTGTCCACAGGAAACCAACTCTATAGCATCCCTCTTATTTGTATAGGCATAAGCGTGTCTTAGTAGATGTGATCTCTTTGTCCTTTTCCAGGATCTCATGACAAATTTTATTACTTGGAGCACAGACTGGACTGTGAATAGAAAAGATCATACCAAAGATCATTTTCACTTCACATCTCCACCATATCCACCACTGTAATAAACAATCTCAAACACCTGCACCAGAGAAAGGCCCACCGCTGGTTATCTCTCTGGTTTGTGGTCTTCCTCTTTTGTCCCAAGCACCACGTTCACTTGTCTGAACTCCATTTCTGAATTTTTCAGATGGAAGCCCTGTAGTCAATATAACCATAGCCACTAAAATACAATTTATGGCATCTGCTGCTGTGGAAATTATTCCCAACACCTATCAGCTCATAAAATATATAAAAGACTGCCCTGTTACACATAGAAAGACTTACCTCTTTGTTCAGTGAAAATTTTACGCTGCCTTAGATACGTCTGAAAGCTATCTGATATCGAAATCCTAAAACTGTTTTAGGCAAACCCAGGGACTGACTCAGATATAGTTAGAGAAGCAAGTTTTCTATTGTCATATCTAAAGCCATTGACATTGCCCCCGACATATTTTCTACAATCCTAACATGAGTGTGTTATCATAATGGGAGGTTCTGTGTGGAGCCAGAGAAAAAAAGAGATGAGTTAAACATTTTCATGCTTGTTGATCAGAATGGTTACCTGACAGGAGGACTGGAGAGCTCTTTCTCTTGGGCTGGTAACACCCCATATTTGCAGAGTGGGAACCAGAGCATAAAGTTACAGATCTTCTTCCTACTTACCAAGTAACTTTCAAATGAGTCTCTGATTTGCCATGAAGCTTTTCGTAGCGGGGAAGGACATGCTGACCTTGGTGGTATTTGTGACCCTCTTGCCTGCTTACAATCTGTGGTAATAGACACGGGGACAACAAATTCTTTTGCTGATGTATTAGCTTGGTCTGTATGGGAAAATCCCTTGGGCCTACTCAGCTGAATGTGCATTAAGGCTAACAAATTTCTAGGTCTACAAAGCTGAACAGCCCACCATGATGTGCAAAAGCATGGCGCTTTGGTTACTTCTAACCTGTGAGATCCTATGAAAGCGACCAACAGGATTCCTCTATAATCACAATACTTATTTATCAAGTACTATACACCATGTACTTTTACACAAAAAGAAAATTAAATAACTTGATCCTTATAACATCCCTATGAAATAGGTACTGCAACTGTCACCACCCCACAGAGGGGAAGGCAGAAGCATGAAAACATTAGGTGTCTTGCCAGTGTGGTAGAGTCAGGATTCTGTCCCTGGATGGCTGGCTCTTGAGCATACACTCTTGTGTTATGCTATGATGCCTCCAGGGACGGATGATGTCTTTGCAACTACAATATTTTGGACAAACTACAAATGGCACATCTGGAAACTGTTCATCTGAAGCCCTTGGAGAAACTATGTCTCCTGGCTTAGCGTCACTTTGATATTTGAAAGCAAAGCAAAACAAAAGTGAGAAAGAATAAAAAGGAAACCAGCATATGTGGTATATGCTGGGTTGTTGAGCAAGCTGCAAACCAAAGTCATGGCTGCGCAACAAGGGGAACTGGACAAAAACCCACATGAATATTATTGGAAGGCCATTCCGGGGTAGGAAGACCTACTTAACTGGTTCAAACGGTCTTTCTAGAGCTCTGCTCTGCCACGGCAGCTCTTTACCAGTTATTTGTGAGACCTGCGTTGACAGGTACCACACGTGTGGCAGGGCGTGAGCAGCAACTGGCCCGCATCAAGCCACATCACATGGAATGAGAGGAAAGAGGACAATGTGGTGAGCCTTTGGGACAGGGTCTCCTTCTTCAATTGCCCTCCTACAGTCAGTATGAGTCAGGCATTCTGGTTTACTGAGTAGCCATGTCACTTGCTCTCATTTTCTCTACGCAGAAATACCAGGAGGTCCTAAACCACAAACCGGAGCCTGGTTCACTGAACACATTGTTTCTTTGTTCTTCTATAGAAAAAGAGAATTCTACCCTTAGCATTTGAGGTATCCTACAACCACAGCTTCCACAGCTGAAGCTCAGGCCATCCTGATCAATCACGAAGTTATTTCTCCCAGTGTGACTTGCCAAAACTCCAGCTACTCAGTTAGAGACTGTCCTCAAGAATCATCAGGTAGTCAATCTATCTGTTCTACCTGATCACCAAATCCAAGACCACCTTCTCCCTCTCCTTCAGTATTTCTATATGTATTTGTATCTTTGGTGGTACTAGAACATAGGATTCCTCTTGCTAGAAACAGTTTTCATCAACAGTACTGTTAGAGAATTTTACTATTAAGAAAAGCACTTTGCAATGAAATTCACAGCTTCTTGTCTAAGCAGTGTTTACTTAAGATAGAGGTTGGTGCTATTTCCCAGCCTGACCCAAAAGCTTCTTTCTTTTGGTCTCCAAATGGGGGCCAACTTTTCTGACCCATTGTGCTTGTCTTTTGCTCTCTACCTGGCCATAAATACCCTGCAGATTATCTTTTCAGCTCACATCAAGCATTTGTCACTGATTCTACTGTTACCTGGGGCCCTCCCGTAATTCCACAGCCTCCCTCAAGTTCAGTCCAAAGTGACCCCTTTGGCCCTGTTCACTACTGGCCCAGCCTTTCAAGGGGTCCTGAGATTCCTACCTTTTCCCTCTTCACTTGATCTTCTTTTTTGAGTGACTCATTACTTTTTATTTCAATATCTCACTCCTAGAAGAAAAATATCCTTAAATGGAAACAGGAGAATAAAATGCCCATTTTTATTTTCTAAAAAACTGGGGCCATTACTATTACTAACAATTTAGGGATGATTTACTTTGATGACTGATTGCTCTGGCTAAATTAAAATTGCTTTTATTCAATGTTGTGTTGCTTACAACATAAAGCATATTTTTTTGTAAAAAGTTCAAATATTGGAAATAATAAGCTAATAAAAATAATACATAAACTAGGATTCTTTGAAATAACCAATTCTAACAGTTGTGGTATATGGCCACCTGTGTGAATATGCATGCATGCATGTGTACAAGTGTGTGTGTAAAATGCATATGATTGTTCCTTTATATCCATTAAGTATTGATCCCAGGACTTCCCATGGATGCACCAATCAGATGCACTTTGTATGGATACCAAAATCCATAGGATTAAATAAAGTGATAGTCTGTGTGTATAAGCATTGTACATTTTCCTGTATACTTTAATCTCTAGATGGCTTACAAAATCTAATACAATATAAATGTTATGTAAATAGTTGTTCTACTGTGCAGTTTGGTGACTAGTGACACAAAATAGACCTAAATGTACATAAATTAGTGTTCCTTGTAAGTATGCATATCATTTTGAAACATGTTGGCTTTTTTAAGAGAGGAGGGTTGTTCATCTAATAATACAACCTGAACATCTTATTTGGTAAGCAAACAGAGCTCTACCTTGTTTTGTAAAAGTGTATACAGTGCCCCCTTATATAAATATACTATAATTTATTTTTAAAATACGTAAGAATGGAAATCTGGTTTGTTTTCAACCAATTTGTTACAATAATGTACAACAAATATTCTTGGATATCTATCTTTGATTACGTCTGTATTTCTGTAGAGCTTATATTTTTGGACTTAGAATCTCTGAATTTCAATTTCCTTTTCCATGTAACTAGGATAACTTTCAGAATTAAATTAGAGAATCACAATTGTAGTGTATGTCAATCCTAGCTCCCTAGCGTCTAAGTCTACCACAGGTGAAAAATCTTCACTTGATATGTCTTAGTTGAAGACAAGCACTTCTTTCTGTTAGAAGTAGCAAAAGATGCCAGCTACTGATGTTCTCAGGCTCCACTGCAATCAGGGAAGATCATGTGATCTAGGCTACACCAATCAGATGCACTCACAGTACAGGTATCCGGGGGACACAGCAGCCACGGGTCAGGGGTCATGCGCACTCTTCAGTAGTCTTGGCAATAATGGTGAAACTAAGATCAACTTCTCATTAGAGAAATAGCAATGCTTCTGTCTGTAGCTTGAGTGTGTGGTAACTGAATGGAAGAAGGGCTTCTTTATGAGAACAAATTTCAAGCATGGTCTCGGACACTGTTTTTGGTGATTTAACCTCAAATTTCATTCTTCAGATGTCTTGGCAACTCCAAATTAGTCAAAATCCTGTGAAATAAAGCCATTTTCTGGCTAAATTAACCTCAGATACTTTCTGTTGCTAGCAAATAAGGATCCTTTCTGTGACATGTACACATCTATGAAACACTGTATAAAAATAAATAACCTGGTAGATGCTCTTAAACTCTTCACTAGTGACCCCTTCCTCCTTCCTTGCTAGCAGGGTCAGCATTTGACTCTCCAGCCAAGGCGATATAAAGAAAAGACCTCTTGGAACTTCTTGGAAATGATTTTTTATCATTCTCAATAAGAACCATGTAAGATATTTTTTTAAACTAATCTTCAGTTTTGTGCTTGGGATGCCATCATGTAAGAATGAGTTGTTGGAGCTCTGGCAATTATTTTGTGACTATGAAGAAAGATGGTGCCTACACACTGGGAATGAATGATTTAAGAATGTAAAGAGTTTTGGTCCTTGGTGACAACACTGAATTTCTAAAACAAATTAGTAATGCCTAGTTATAAAAATTTAAAAATTAAAATTAAATTAAAAATTATAACATTAAATTTAAAAAATTACGATGATTTAAGACATTAAAACTTACATATTCTTTTATTTGCAACTGAACACATTCTATTTGGTACAAGGCATTTTGAATATCTCCATATAAACTAAGCCTGAACAGAAGCTTTTGAGTTTTTAAGACTTCAGCCCTGTGACCACACCTCCAGTTGCACAACGATCCCACATGAGATCTAGCTATTTTTAATTAATTAATTAATTTTTTATTTTAAGGAAGATAAAAATGAGGAAAGTAAAACAGAATAAAATCAATCAAAATAAACCAGAATAAGTGATACAGGACTTCCAAACCTTATGAAATCAGCAACAGTTACCATAGTGCCTTTGTTGTCTTCAAAATAGCTGCGGATACTACCTTTGGGCATATTAAAAATCAAACACAACAGAATACAATAGAAACAATAAAAACAAAACAATGAATGCAATAGAGGACATCAAAACAAGCCAGTAGTAAATATATAATGGCTTCCATAACATGTCTTGCTATTTTTTAAACAGCTGCTCATGCCATCAGAGTTAAAATAAACAAAAACACAACCCAACAAAACAATGAAAATGATATGGTTTCCTGGCAGAGATCTCCCCCCATGGGGCCTGGTTCTCTCCCTCTACAGTCTTTAAAATGACACTGACTCACAGAGAGAGGCTTGGATCTGGCTCTCCCCATGCTGGCAGTGGTCCACACATGGTGCTGGTTTCTGGGCGGGGATCTCATTCAATGGGGCCTGGTTCTCTCCCTCTGGAGTCTGCAAATGTTATTTTTTAATTTAAAGAAAATTTTTGAGTGGTTGATAAACTTTTAGTATTGTAAAACTGAACTTACTAAAGTGCTCTTTGAGAGATCATTATATCTTCCCAAATTATGATGGGTCAAAGCAGTTTTGTGGGTCAAAGCAGGTTCCATAGGGCTCCTGGTATGAATGTCTGATTCTGAGGGTCTCTTGACAAACTTGTGGTTTCCAGGTGTTGAGCTCGTATTCTGGGATTGTCTTCTCTCTTCTGGACTCTGCTGATCCTAGGGAATCAACAGCATATAACAACTGACATTATTTAGAATTCTTCTGGGTTTATTATCTCACATTGGCTTTAAAACAAGTTATTTCTTTATCTACTCTTCTCTTCAAATAATTTGCTCCAAAGCACATAGCTAGTGAATTTTGAAGATACAATTCAATGCACTTTTTCCTGTACCACAGTGGTTCTCACTGGCTGCCCATTGGACTGTCTAGAGAACTTTAAAAACTACTAATGCCTAGCTCACAATCTCAAAGATTCTTATGTAATGGATCTGGAAGGAAGACTGCACACTAAGATTTTTAAAACAGCTTTCCTGGGGTCTAATTTATACATCATAAAATTCATCCTTTCTCATTATAAATGCAATTATTTAAAAATATATATGTAAGAATGGTGCAGCCATTACCACAATCTAGTTTTAGAATGTTTTCATCCTCAAAAGGTGTTTTTTTGCCAGGTTTATTTAAGTCAATGCTTTCTCTGGCCTAGACTGTCACGGATCTGCTTCCTATCTCTATCCATTTATCTTTTGTGTACATTTTTATATTTAAATCACACCACATGAAATCTTTTGATCTAGTTTCTCACAATATTGTCTACAGCACATCACTGCTGTAGGATGTTCCTTCTTTTTGTTAAACAGTATCCTTTTGAATGAATATAACATAGTTTATCTATTTTGTAGTTGGTGGATATTTGAGTTGTTTCCAGCTTGAGACTATTATGAATAATGCTGTCTTGAACATTAATAACATTAATATACCTATCTTTGTGTGGAAATATATTTAAATTTTTATTTAACATATTTAGAAGAGCAAAATTATTGGAGTGTATAATAAATAACATTTCAGTAAACAGACATACCATTTTCTAATGTCTTATCAGTCAGCTTTCCTGTTACAGGGACACAGTAACTGTCGTAGTCACTTTGCTCATCACTGAGACAAAATGCCCAACAGCTAAAACCTAAAGAAGGAGAGGTATGCTTTGGTTCATATTTCAGGCCATAGTCAGGCAGTTCCACGGTAGACTGGCATGGCAGAGGAAACCTGCTCAGGGCACAGGGGTGAGGAAGCAGGGAAGGGAGCAAGGATAAGAGATAAACCCTTCCAGGGCACAAGGGCATACTCCCAATGACCTGGCTCTTCTGACCAGATCTCATCTCCTCACAGCTCTAATCACCATCTAAAAGCCCATCTGTGGTTGCATGAGGCTTTCAGGGGACCTCCAGATATAAGCCATAACAATACTCAGGCTCCATAACCTCAAGGAGGAGAGATTTAATTTGGTTCAAGTAATTCGGCCCATGGTTGGCTGGCTCCAAGGCAGGTACATCATAGCATTTGGGCTTGGCAGAGGAAGTCTGCTTGCCTCACAGGCAAAAGGGCAGTGAAGTAGTGCCAGAGAGAAAAGGATAATGGACTAGATATAGTGCCCAGGTCAGATCTCTATGATCCACCCAAATGCACCCAGAAGTGTGGCTTACTAATCCACTCAGTGACTCCCAAGCCAATCAAGTTGACACAGTTAAGCTTAGCCACTACAAACGTATCCATTCTACATTTCCACCAGCAGTGACTGAGGGTAAAATTCTTCCACATCCTGGACTTGGTGTTGAAGTTCTTTTTAACTGTAGTCACTCTAGTCACTATGTAGTGATCTGTCATTGTGATATTAATTTGTACATCCCTATAACTAGTAATACTGAATAGCACTTGCTATGTTCTAATGCTACCCTCAGCAATTTGTAGATATTGTCTCTTATAATCATCACTTCCCAAGACCCCTGAGTTGAGCTTCCCGGGAATTAAATAACTTACCCAAAGCCACACTGCCAGGATTCATACTTTGTAGAGCCTGTCCCCAAACCACAACAAATAATCCAACAGATGTTACTGGATAACCCAATCCGCTTAAAGTAAATGACTCTAAAGGAGTTCTCTAATGTCTTACACACTAGTTACATAGCCATAGCATGGAAAAAAAGTGTAGGTATTCCAAAAGGCTGGCAACACTTTAGACACAAATGTGCTGGGCCTCTTTATTAGGCTTTCTTTTTATTTTCTATTGTAATGAAAATTTAGAATTTTTACCCCATTGCAGACAGTTATAGTTCATTTAACAATTTATGTGACTGGTTTAACTGTGCTTTTGACAGTTTCCTCCATTCTTGACAAGGGTCATTGTTGATCTTTTCTCTATAATGACAGAACACTGAGATTTTGGGGAGGATGTATTCTCTGTGATCAGCGGCTACCAAGGTGTGATGGTTTGTCTGCACTGGTCGAGCAGCCTCTTTATTTTTGAAAGATGAAGCCTATCCAATTTCTGGTACCCCTGGTCAGAGCACCTTGCCATAACTTAGGTTGCACCTTTGCTCAGCTCAAAAATAGGAACCACCTGCCGCTCTCTGTCAAGTTTTTGGCTAAGCACTCTATTTTTACAGTCAGGGGTGCTTGGGCAAAGTAGGCAATAGAAAAAGGGGCAGTGATTCACACTGTTCTCTCATGAAGGACAGCTAGTGTGGCCACTGCTGCTGTCCTCCCCAGTCACTACTGCTCTCTGAATCTCCTATGCCTCATGCCTGTCTAACCCACCAAACCCACCCAGACTGGCTCTTCCTAGGCTGGCTTTGCACTAGGCTTCTGTGCCACTGCTCAGAAACCCAGAAGAGTCTCCAGTTGAGCCTTCCTTGTGAAAAATAAAACTCCTAAGTCACAGCAGCTGGCTCAGCCCAGTGATTTGCACTAGTTATCTTTCATGCTCTCAGCTATCTGGTAGTTATGCACGTCTGCCCTTCAGATTGTGCAAGGAGAACAGAGTGCTCCTCCCTGAAGCTTTTTTGTTTTCTGATAGAAACATAGGGTCCTGACTTCTCTATGAGTCACAGATTCAATAAGGAAATAACTTCTCTTAAAAGTCAGACCTCATCAATTTATTAGAAGTATTTCAAGGTCCATTACTTAAAGGATGTACCAAATGGGCCGATGGTGGCCACTTCTGTTTTTCGGAGACAGATTGGTTCCAACAATTTGGGCATCAGCTTACAATTCTCTGGAACCCTTCCTACTGCTCATTCTTCAAAGCCAATGAGTTATTAATGCCGTGGAAGCATAATAACTGTGATTGGATCAATGACTCTGGACAATGCCTGCTAAAAATCAGGACAAGTCTGGGTATTTTTCTTTGAGCTTTGATATTGAGAAATTTAGTTGGAGGAAAGTAAGGAACACTCCTCAGATGGCCAAGTCTGAGTTCTGAGCCTGGTGCTGCCACTCTCCAGCTAAGTTGGGTTAGGTCACTTAACTTCTAAGCTCAGTGTACAATTAACTTGGGAAAGCTTCCTTGGAAGTCATCTTGTTCACTTGGAAACTTCCAATTCCTCCTTTAAGGCCTCCTTAAAAATCTACTTCTTCACAAAACTCACAAAATGAGATCTATCCTTCCTAGCAGAATCCATCCCTTTCTCTCTCCTTCCCCTACACTACTGTTCATGTTGTTCTATTACATACTGAGCATGCCTAATCCAAAAACCTGTAATCTGAAGTGCTCCAAAATCTGAAATGTTTTGACCACGGACATAATGCCACAAATGGAAGATTCTGCATCTGATTTCCTGTGACAGGTCACAGTTAAAATGCAGGTGCACTAAAATGTTGTATGAAACTACTCCCAGGCTATGTGTGCAGGTTGTATATGAAGCATACATGACTTTTATATTTAGACATGAGTCCCATCTACAGAATACATCATTATACATATGCAAATACCACAAAAGATAAAATCTGAAGCACTTCTAAACAAAAGCGTTTTGATGAAGGGATACCAACCTGAATAGCACTTATAATACTCATCTTATCTTTACATGTGTCTACTCAGCAATGACTGCAACAGTGAAAGGTTGAGATCTTGTCCCATTTTTTTCATAAGTAAACAAGATCCAATACAGGTAGATCCATAGTAAAATAAATTTTGATATACATATCCGCTAATTGTTATTTGATGACTGGAGACATGTTCACACTGGGTTGTAGTCAGGGTAACCCCTATTGTCTGTGGCCTACACATTTTTTTTCTCCTCCTTGAGAAATAGCTTCCTATTAACTCCAGTTTGTATAACCTTTATGGAATGTCAGTAAGAGTACACTGTGTGCTCTAAGAAACTACTTACCATGTTCTTCTCTGGTTGATAAAGTAGGAGTACAGGGATCATATGGTCTGAGCATGGACCACTATGGGATCTATTTTGTTCATAAGTCTTTTACCAAATCTTGCTTTTACATTAATTAACGAGTCTTTAACTAGGTTAAGCCACCTTTGTAGAGAACCACAAATTTATGGAAATAAATGTGCCTCATAATAGCATTAGGACATCAATGTTCAAGAAAAGCACTTCTTGTTTTCATAACCATGTACTACGTTCAGAGATAAATGTGACTCATTTTAAAACATTGTTAAGAATATCTGGTCACATCTTCCTTGATCCCTCTGGGGTCTATGTAAATTTTGACCTCTATGTACCCCTTGACAGTCCACTTGGCTTGAGTTTCTGTGGTCATAGCTCTCTGCTGGGTCTTCTCCTGCTCTCCTCACTCCTTTCATCTTCTTTGTGGACTTCTTTCTCCAAATTTGACCCTAAATGCAGAGTGACAGAGTGACTTGTTTTTTGGGATCATAGAAATCAAGGGACATGGATCAGGAGTTGCTGATGGCTGTGCTTTATTAGCTCTAAAAATGTGTTTTTGCTGTACAGAACCAAACATAGTGGAGAGATGGGGTTGGAGGGAAAGAGATTGCAAGGGTCCAGAAATTTCTCTGCCTCTCTTTCTGTTAATCTGGTGTCTTTCTGATCTACGCCTTCATAGTGAAGTGACTTCTTTTGAGTTGCAACTTAATTTATCTAAAATTTAATCCCAACCCAATCTTTAGCTCCTGTTGTTCTATAAATGTGATTAATACAATGGCTTTGAATAATGTAATACATAGTCTTGGGTCTCA